TGTCCGGAGTACAAGAAGTGGCGCCAGTCCCGCCAGCAGTCTGACACGTCCTGGCGTGCAAAGGAGTCTGAAGTGCAGGCCGCAGCACCTGAGCGCACGCCTGATCCATGCCTCTGTGTGCCTGATGCGAATGCATGCTCTTTGCCGCGTCTCCATGTGGATATTGCTGTGGGAGAACAGTCTGCTCGCCCTAAGGCAGTCGTGGACACCGGCGCCAGCCGCAACCTGGTGAGCCGGCAGCTGGTGGAGGCCCTGAATGTGGATGTTCGTCCGTCCGAACTGGCAATTTCGGCTATTGACGGCAACAGTGTGCCTATCCAGGGTGAAGTTTCGCTACAGGTGTCCAGACTCGATGATGCTGTTTATCTGCCATGCACTACGAGTCGGTTTCTCGTCGTCCCTGATTTGCATGCCGTTGGCTCAGATCTGGTCATTGGCCTGGAACTGATTTCCGCACTGGGCGGTGTTGACGTCCAGTATGATCATGGCGTGCTCACTGGTGTGACGTTTGGCACGAAACCGCAGACCATTGACCCAGTTGCAGCTCCACCCGAGAGGTCGACCCATGACCATCCATATGGGCATGTGACAGTTACCAGAGATGACGAGGGTAATGTCACCCTAGCAACGGATGATGGCCAAGTGTGCTGGGACGCTGCTCGTAAGAGATGGGAGCTGACCTGGAAATGGCAAAGTGGGAGCGAGCCTCAGTCGCCCGTTGGCTGTGGCATAGGCGAGTACTCTCGCTCGAAACTGACTGATGAGCAGGAGACCCTGTTCCAGCAGGAGGTCCGGACTTGGATTGACAACGGCTGGCTGCAGCCGTATGATGTGGACCAACATGGCCAGCCCAAGTGTGTGCTGCCTTTCCTTGCTCAAGTCCAGGAGCACAAGTCGTCCACTCCAGTTCGCCCTTGCTTGGACTATCGCAGGCTGAATGCCTGCATCATCTCACATCCTGGCTCAGAAGCACCTGCCTGTGGTGAGAAATTACGGAAGTGGCGGCAGGCTGGACCTGCATCTGAGTACGTTCTCCTGGACATTCGCAAGGCCTACTTACAGGTCCATGTCGCACCATCATTGCTGCCATACCAGGTTGTCCTCGTCGACGGCCAGCGTTACGTGATGGAACGGATGGCGTTCGGTCTATCCATTGCCCCCAAGTTCCTAGACATCATAGTGAAGTGGGTCTTGCGTGACGTGGTCGATGCCGACAACTACGTGGATGATATCCACGTGCCGCGTGACCGTGCTGCCGAAGTGTCCTCTCAGCTTGCTGCGTTTGGTTTTGAGACCAAGCCTGCAGAGCCATTGCCTGATGCCCGTGTTCTGGGCTTGCAGCTCCATTCTAGCGCCACGGGTGAAGTCTTGTGGACCCGTCGTCAGGGTGTTGATCTGTCTGTTCCACCCACGACTACGAAGCGGGAACTCTTCAGTTGGTGCGGTCGGGCGCTCAGCCATTATCCCGTCTGCTGTTGGCTTCGTCCGGCCTGCAGCTTCTTGAAGCGCCTCGTGTCTGGCCAGTCCGCATGGGATAAGCCTGTCTCTCCTGAAGTACAGCGGTTCCTCCAGGAACTGTCCGATCGCTGTGTGCGAGAGGATCCTGCTCATGGTACGTGGCATTCTTCCTCTACTGGTTCTGGTTTTGTTGTTCATTGCGATGCCTCTGATGTTGCTATTGGTGTTGTTTTGGAGTGTGATGGTTCTGTCCTGGAAGATCGTTCTTGGCTCCGGCAAAAGGACGACCGGCGTCATATCAATCTTGCTGAGTTGAATGCTGCCTTGAAAGGCCTCGAGCTGGCTATTGATTGGAATGTCTCTTCTGTTGTGCTCAAGACAGACTCTAAGACTGTCTTTGGTTGGCTCCAGGCTGTGTTGCGCAATACTGAACGGGTGCGAGTTAGTGGTTTGCAACATGTCTTGGTTCAACGTCGTCTGCAGATCTTTACAGATTTGATTGAGGCATCCGGTATTTCGGTCACAGTGGAATGGGTGCCAAGTTCTGAGAATCATGCTGATGTACTGACTCGTGTTCCGCAGCCGTGGGTTGCTCATGCTAAGAAGTTGTGTTCTTCTGCTGATGTCGCTGCTTCTGCCCCCTCTTCTACACTTTCACATCCATTGGAGTTTGACGTGTTGAAGTCTGGTCAAGCTACTGATGATGCTATCCAGAGCGTTATTCGCGATTTGTCTCGTGACGTCTCTGTTTCTGATCCGTCGTTCTGCAAGTTTCGTAAGCAGTTGTGTGTTATTGATGGTCTATTGTGTCGCACTTGGCGTGACCCCGTCGACGGTGAGGTACTGGTTCCTGTTGCACCGCAATCCACCGTTCCCGCTTTGATTACTGCTGCTCATGCCAATACAGGTCATGGCAATTGGGAAACTATGTGGCGTTCTCTGTGTCAGTCTTGTTTCTTTCCAGGTATGTCTTCGCTATGCCAGGCCTATGTGCGTAATTGTCAGGCCTGCCAGGCTGCCAATCCCCGCAGTGGTCCACCAGCTCCTGCTGTTCAGAATGACGTTCCTGTCAAGCCGTGGGACATTGTCCAGATCGATACACTGGAGCTCGGTGTCAACCAGACCGGTCAGTACCATTGTGTGTTAGTGGTTGTCGATATGTTTTCCCGTTGGGTCGAGGTGGTACCCTTGCGGCGTCATGATGGTCGCTCTGTTGCAGAGGAATTTCTGCGTCTCTGTTTGAAGTTTGGTCCGCCGCGTGTGGTGCGTTGCGACAATGGTCATGAGTTCCGCAATGCTATTGTGTCTTCTTTGTTGGATGTGTTTGGTGTTTGCGTTCGTACTGGTGCGGTCCGTCACCCTCAGTCACAGGGTGGCGCCGAGAGATTCAATCGTACTATTCTCACTCTTATTCGCAAGGTGTTGGATACTGCTGCCGATTGGCTAGCCGAGCTAGAGATTCTCCTCTTCTTCTACCGTACTCGTCCGCATAGTGAATTGAAGATTTCTCCCATGCGTGCTATGTTTGGCTGGGAGCCTCGTGCTCTATTTGTGGACGGTATACCATCTACTCTTTCGTCCTCTCTTTGGGTTGATGGTGTGTGTGATAAGGCTGCTCGGGTTCACGACTATTTGACGGCGGTTGTTGCAGAGCACGCCCCTGCGCCTGTTGTTGAGTCGCCTTCTTGTCCGTATGTTGTTGGTGATCGTGTTCTATTGCGTAACCCTGATCGTCGCCAGAAACGTCAGCCCCCGTTCGATTCTGGTTGGTCAGTTAAACATGTTATTGGTCCTGCCAGTGTTGTGATTTGCCGTGTGCATCCTGAGTCAGGTCGTCGTCAGGAAAAGGTGGTCAATGTCGAGCTCTTGAAGCGTGATGTTGGTTTGGTTGTTCCTGATGTGCCGTGTGTTCCTCTAGTGCCCCCGCCTGATGTTGGCGATGTTCGCGTTGATGGTCCTCGTGATGATGGTGATGATGATGGTTGGGTTTGCTTGGACATTTCCCCCCCCATCTGATCATCTGGTTGGTGGTCATTCATTACGTCCCCGTGGTTCTCTGCAGCCCCCTGCTCGCTATCGCTAGGCATCTGTCTTCCCTGCTGTATGTCATTACATGTATGCCCCATCCAATGTTATCAGGTGGAGGGGTGAAAGGGAACTATGGTGTTCGAATACTTATGATAACATTGTGTATGCATTTACAATTATTATTCACGATTTGCTGGAGTTACTTACGTGGTTTGTTATATTCTTGCTCAGTGAAGTCCCTCTGCAGAATAACTCTACGATGTGTCACTATCTGACAGGGTTTACTGTCACCCCGTATCGGGTGCAAGCACCCACTGACAGATCAAACACTTTTCTTTCCTCAACTTTGATCTTTCTGTCTTCGTCCTGCTCACTACTGTTTGTCGTTCGAATTTCTGATTTATTTATTTATTTTGCTTCTGCATTTCTGCATTTGTTTTGCACCATGTTTTCCATGGATACGCGGGCTGTGCGCAGCAGCGCACCTTTCTGGGAAGACTGGTATCGTTTTAGGTTGCGTCCCGCTACCCTTATTTGTTGCGTGTAGTACGCTGGTCTCGTTTGTGCTGCACTTGTACGCGCACGTTTTGCCAGGGACAGCGGTTTTGCATTCGCTCTTCTTGGCGCAGCCAGTTCTCTCTCGCGTCTCTCTCATTTTCTCTCTCCTTTCAACCATGCATAATTTGTTCCTTATCTGAAAAGGCTGTGATCTTTTGTGTGACGGTGTGCACGGGGTGCATGACTGAGTGCCTGGGAAGGTTTAGATAACAGTCTACGGTTTTCCTGCCAGCATTATCTACACAACAAAAGATTTCAAACCACTACTACGTAGTGTACTGTAAATACACAAAATTTCGGCACTTCACGATTTTTGACATTTCGGCGTGGGGTACGGGTAGAGGGGATGGTATAGTGCGACAGATGCTGTGAAAAATTTCATCGGCGTTTTAATTTAGGCGTTTTGGGTCGGTGCCGAATATAGCCGAAATTAAATAGCTGCCGAAAATTTGTATAATTTGTATATTTCGAGTACATAGTACATGATTATCGATTGTGTACATGTACAACAATTACACACCAGTAATGCGTACTGTACCCCTGCTAGCTGCTGAGTACTGCTGGTCGTTCTAGTACTACAAATAAATGTGGCCTTATACAATGTATTTGTGGGTGACATACATCCAAAAAAACAAACACTAGTCTTGTGTTGTAAAGCTTGCTCAAATACTGCTGGGTTGCATCAAGAGTACAGGTTTTCATGTACTCTTGGTTGCATGCACTACTGAATGTTACATCGCCGAAGTCGCAACCACTACTTCGTACAATTAATTACTTCACAATACCATGTTCACAGCACGTGCAACTACTTGTCACTTGAGCCGGCTATTAATACCGGTATACCGGCTATAGTATATAGCGTATCACAAGCACGTGCACGTGCAGGAATTTATCCTTCACACACAATCCTCCTCACAGCTTTCTGCAATGCGTACACAATCTGCTCGATACTGCTGCGATACTACACTTGCTGTGAGTACTGTAGTATGGCCGTGATTCTTGACCAGCTGACAGAGCGCACTTTTCGTGCTCAATGCATGCAGGACACAATTTGAGGGGAAAGCTGTATGTAATCCTAGTCGATCTCCCGAACGTTACTTCCTCCAGTTTCTGACTGTGTGAATACTACACGCATTTCGTTTTTCGTGCCGTAATTCATCGGTGTCGTTGACCAGTAGGCAGTACAGTTTGGATGCACTGCTGTTTCATGCGTATTTTTTAAAAACGTTTGAACGTTGGGCAGTGACTTTGCGTCAACAGTTTCTCACATCCGCTGAGGATGCAAGGGAGTGTTCTTGTGCAGTAGCACCGTGCATAATTATTATAATCGCAGCAGGATAGTTGTCTCGAAACTAGCAAGAAGTCTCGGATGAAAGACGTGAGGTCTGTTGAGTGCTGATCTTGTTCTGGCTGACAAGCCAGTCTTGGAAAATCAGTCATGTCAATGTCGTGGCTCTGGGATCCACACGCCGTGGCGAAATTCCAGCGCTTCTGCGGAAAGGAGCGGATCCCAATTGAGGTCGCCACTGGCAACGGAAAATCTGTGCAGGTGGCCGGGACGGACACGCGAAATGGCAGTGCCAGTGCAAGTGGACATGGGCTTCGTAGATCTACGCGGCACGGTGACAGCTCAACATCGACGGAGAACGACGCTAGCACTATCCGATCAAACGGGCATGCTAACGCCAGTAACGGGCATAGTGTGGATGTACAGTCCAATGGCAATGGTCGTAATGGAACAGTATCACCGTCAGCTAACTGCAGCCACACTGCTGATGACGCAACACAGCAAGACACACAACAGCCCAAGACCAAAATCATCCACAAGTATCCTGTGGTTAAGGCCATCTTCCACATGGCATCCATGGTTGGCGAGGAGGAGTTCTTCATTGCCTTCCTGCCAATCATGTTCTGGAACTTTGACTTCTTTGTCGGACGGCGCGTCGTCTTGCTCTGGTTCTTTACAATGTACCTGGGCACGGCTCTGAAGGACAAGATACAGTGGGAGCGGCCGGACCCGGCCATAGTTCTGCGCGAGGCGAACGACGAGCACTGCCAGGAGTTTGGCATGCCGTCCACACACACCACCAGTGGTGCCATCCTCGCCTGGGGCTTGATCTATGTCTCCTACTTTCGCTATGAGGTGAGTCTCAGTCTGAAACACCAAGAGTACGTGTACTTAACCCCAGAGAGTGTGCGGAGTTATGGCGTCTGCGGGAGGAGGGGGCATTACCGCGAAACCCCATAGATTTTCCTTGCTATCATCAGAATTTACCCCAGCTCTGTTGTTTTGGACTGCATTTTCAAACTACGCTTCCCAGAGGGAGACCCCCCCCCCCCACGTTTCCCAGGGGGAGAACCCCATATTTCACAAGGTGAGCCCCCCCCCCCCCCCCCCAAAACCTCGAGATCTCCCTACCAGTTTGGCTATACCCTTGCAGCCAGTGGCAATGCGTATAACGAGGCACAGTACTTATTCAGCTTCACAACACTGGTTGCATACATGCATGGGCTGAGAATTTCCCATCGTTACCGTTATTCCACGGATGCATGGTCATTGACGTTGTGATAGTCCCAGCACCGCTGAGTACATGGCATTGTGTTGTAATGTTACATCCTACACAAACAGCCGCATAATGTATGTATGCACACACACACACGCACACACACACACACACACACACACACACACACACACACACACACACACACACAAGCATACTCTACATGTTATGTACATTGTGTATCGACGCTGCTTGTACGAGTTCTCGTTGTCTCTGCAATGTTGCTACAGTTCTCTTTGTTGCCAGCTACTCTGGTAGTTCTGCCCATGGTGCTGTGTATGGGAATCAGCCGCGTCTACTCTGGCCACCACACACCATTGGTAAGTTCTTTGAAACCTTTGAAATCGTTTATTCTCACTGAGTTGGTGGTGTTGTTTCAACTGTTTTTTTTCTCACGTCGTCGTCGTCGTTGTTGATGATTTTATTTGAAGGATTCTCTAAAAGCAAATGGATGCTGACCGGTGCAGTCTCCTGTCGAGCGAAAACTCATTGGGGAGTGTGTAGACTGAGGAGAAGAGATGAAGTAGAGTAAGAAAGGGGCATAAGAAAAAAAGGGAAGATTAGTAGCTAAATATCAAGAAATAACGGAACTAACTTTGTGTAGTGTGTATAGGTAAACATAATCAGGGGCAAGATTGCAATTTCCACTGATAAACACACACACTGCCTTGATCTGGTCAATGCATTACTATCATATACAGGATGTGCTTGGTGCGTTCAGCCTGGTAGCGTGCATCATGCTGGCTGGTTCAGTGCTGCTGGAGCCGCTTGACTCACTCTACATGACGCCATCGCTGATAGGTCCTATCTCCGCTCTGGTTACGGGATATCTGGGAATCTTGCTCTATCCCCATCCTGCTGTTATCCGGTTAGTGTACGGCATGTGTGTGTGTGTGTGTGTGTGTGTGTGTGTGTGTGTGTGTGTGTGTGTGTGTGTGTGTGTGTGTGTGTGTGTGTGTGTGTGTGTGTGTGTGTGTGTGTGTGTGTGTGGTTGTCTTGGGGTCTTTGCTTGTGCCCGTGTTGCAGAGAACTGGGCTCTTTTCTATGTGCAGGGGCTGTTACTTATCTTGCTGGATGGGGAAATGTTGGGTATGAACTGGTAATGCAATGGACATCCAATAATAGTGATGCAGAGTTCTCGCCAAAGCGACATTGCTGGGCGCTGCACCCTCCTTCACTTTTCGACCGCTCCTTTTAACACTCTCACTACCAGCCGATCAAATATCGATCCACGTGGATCGATGCAATAGGCGATCACTAAATATTTCGTCACACGCTCAAATATTGTCGGATTATTACAAATGAGGGCTCTACGTCTTCAGAAAGACCTTGGCTATCGACTCTAAGTATCGCTTTCACTCCTTGGTGCATAATGGCGCACGACGAAGTTCGAAGCTAGTGGGCGATCAAAAATGCGCATTCGAACCTTTTGAGTCGCCGTCACGCTGAGAATAACTCTGATATCTTCTCGCTTACCTGTGCGTTTTGGGGCTGGAAATCCTTCGGGTTTTAGGTATTTTCACAAGAACTTCGTCTGGTTTCTATGAGCCACGATTTTACAAATCAGTGAGCCACACATATCTGTTTGAGTTTGAAAACGTCTTCTTCATCACGGCGCGGCACACACGAATGGCGCTTGGTGTTGTAGTTTCTACGAGTGCGTAGCTGCCATCATTAGCTTTCCAGAGAGTGGTTGTTTGTGAGAAATGACCAAAGGAGAGCAGAGATATACCATAAGTCGTATTTTCGTAGACTGTGAATGGACTCAATTGCGAAAATAATGGTAGTGAAAGCGTTAAAAATAAATGCACCACCCTTTTATATGCGTGATGAGGGCACAGCATTGTAAGAGGTTTTGCATCATAATCATCACTTGCCTCTAAAACCGTATCAATGGCGGGTTCCAGTGGCCAGTGAATAAATACATGAAATGGAAGTACAATAACTGGCCGCCTGCTTTCTGGTGCCGGCAAAATGTAGCGGCACAGAATGGCGGTAAACTCACACAATTTTGGGTTCGATGATCTCTCTTCCCCCCCCCCCCCCCCCCCCCTCTTCACTTTTGTTCTGGCTCTATCCCTGTGATGTTGTTAGGGACCGTCTGGGGTTACCGATTGTTTTTACGAAACAAAATTTTTTAGTATTTTTCAGCCCCCGCCCGCCCACCTTTTCTGCAGGTAAAACGAATTCCAATGAAATATTGATGTCAATTTTCGACACCCAAAAGTAACTGGGCATTCTCCATCTGCATTCAAATATTTATTTTTAAAACGAAACTCCATCAAACCCACCCACTCCCAAACGAAATATTTTTGTTTTGAAAATATTACCGGTAACCTTGGACGGCCCCTTAGTGTGTGTAACATAGCTGTCTGGACATGTTCCCTCTGGCAGGTCCTCGTCCAAGGACATGCCCACGATCATTGCCGTCTTTTTGGGCTTCTACATTGGACTATGGATGTCTGTGGGTACACTCAATCCCCTTGACAATCGTCACCTTGAGCCATTCCAACTGCCATCGCCAGACAGGCATGAAGTATGTTCACTGTAGCACTGTCTCAGCATACGATTAGATAGACAGATAGATAGATAAATAGATAAATAGATAGATAGATAGATAGATAGATAGATAGATAGATAGATAGATAGATAGATAGATAGATAGATAGATAGACAGATAGATAGATAGATAGATAGATAGATAGATAGATAGATAGACAGACAGATAGATAGAGATAGATAGATAGATAGATAGATAGATAGATAGACAGATAGATAGATAGATAGATAGAGATAGATAGATAGTCATGTAGATAGATTGACAGATAGACAGATATCCTGAATGCTGTGCACTTTAGCCTATACTGGGAACATGTGGAAATGTTTGTCGGTGCTACTCTTGATCACTCGGTTTTTGCTAAAACGATTACGTCGTATGCCACAATTCTACAAGTAGTCTTTATGAAGTACTGGTATATGATTGGGATTAATGGACAGCGCCTGATCCTGCATTGCCCAGATTATCCATGGTATGAGTGTAGTCACATTTCACTAGTACTAGTATAGGCTAGCTGTTGCTTGTGAATTCCTGAAGAAATCCCCCGCCTTCCCTCCACCGCCACCACCAAGCTGGTATGTTGGACTCCAACAAATTTTGACGCAGCTCCCTGAATATGCCGGAAAGATTTGCAGTGTTCCTCTTTCTGTTTCGTCACATCCTGTGACCCTGTTTTTGTCGTCTTGTTGTCATTTTCTCTGTGGTTAGATTGTAGCAGGACTGCTGCGGTATATAGCTGGCGTATTCTTGCTGCTGGTGGTCCGGATGGTCCTGAAGTCATCGTCAATCAAGTTTTTCTCTAAGTACGCCGATCCTACACAGGGACCAGCCAAGGAACAACTTCCTGTTGTGGTACGTTATAGCTTGTAGTTACCTTTTAAGCACATACACCAGCATTGGAGAGCTGCTCCGCCGAGCAACGTTCACAAAGTGTGTGTGTGTGTGTGTGTGTGTGTGTGTGTGTGTGTGTGGGATTCACTGGCCAGAAAAAGCCCCGGGTAAGATATACACATGCCTAGTACAGTCCTTTTTCGTCGCACGGAATTTCCTCCTCATGATCCCATGAGCGCATATACAAATGTGTGGGACTATGGCGTACTCTGATAAGATGTACAACTTGTGTATGATGATGGTCTTTTCGGTATCCCTACTATATTTGCGTGTTTCATACATCTGTACACATGCCATGTTGGCTTGACAGGTACTTTAGTGTGTGGACAGTGCAGAGAAGGCTGTTTGCAGCGCAGGCGACCTGGTTTGGTGGCACTAACCACGCTAAGGGCCCGGTCACACATGCACTCGAAAGTAGCGGATCCGCTGAAGCGACGTCGCAGGAGCGAAAAATACCATGGCAACGGCGAAAAGCGGAACTTCCGCTGAAGCGGAAACTCCAATCCGCGTCCTCCAACATTTTTGAAGCGAGACTGTCGCTTCTGCGGTTTCGCTTCAGCGGAAAACACCACGGTCTGCTGTATATGGATTTGCTACAAGAAATTTGTATGCGTATGATGTCTATGCAACAAAAATGCGTGCAAGATAGTCATTGACCTCGTCTATTCTCCGTACCGTATGCACCACAGTCCACTTTTTACTCTCATTTTCCGCCAAAGTAGGAGTTGTGCCCTGTTTGTATGTGTGACCATACACAAGTAGTTCGCTGGAGCGACACCAGGCTCGCTGCCCCAGAACCTCGTCGCCGAAGCGAAACCCCAATGCATGTGTGACCGGGCCCTGATAAAGAAAGCAGCTTGGACAACACTGTCTTGTCAAATTGTAGTGGCAGAGAGGCTTGGCCAAGGAAACGTTTGCGGAAAGGTTCACATACTGTCTGAAAGCACTGGACTTTGAACTGGCCTCTGATGCAAAGTGAACCTTTTTGATGCCGCGGGTTTCCCCAGCCCACCTACAGCACCACACCGTATTACACAAATTTACGCAGTGCAGTACAGTTTGTCTTGAGGTGGTATATATTTTCAACACGATGCTTTGCAGATTACGTGGGACTACATATTATAAACCTCCCTATTATTAGGGTCGCGTGCACGTTTGTACATAGTCTAGTCATGTACATTTGCATGCACAATAAAAAAATGTTTTGCGGTCGGGTGAAAAAAAACGGTCGGGTGACCCGAAACAACGAATTAATTCTGGGTGGCCTAGTTTTATTTATTTATTTAATAAATGGGGCATCCCCACAGGCCTAAGCCTAAGGCCTTCCGTTCTATAGGGAAATGAACGTTCACCATTCTCCCATGCAGTACACGCATATCTCGCTTATCCGGGAGGTCCGGGACCGGGCACTGCCCGTCACATCGAAATATCCGTAACTCCAATTCACATACTTCAAGTACATTTTGATGGGGAAAGACGATACATATGGCATATGGCGTCACTATTTCCGCAAAAGTGACAAAAGTGCAGTAATATTTCCACTAAAACTGGCCCTCTAAGGGTGCACGGTAGACCGAAGTGCCCGTAACTTCGGTGTCTGAATAACCGAGGTATGAGTGTAAAACATTTCTGGCTGTGCCGTTCTGTGTCGTAGATCCGTTACCGGCTTGTAACGTATGGAGGTACTTGCATGGCCTGCACAGCACTGGGCCCGCTCTGGTTCAGGCTGCTTGGAATTCCTACCCAGGAGCCATAGTGCAGCATGCATTGCAGTCACATCTGTTTGCTGTTTCCGCCTGGGAGCGTGCAGCGTTCGTTCTAATTCATCCTTGTACGGAGGACAGTGCTGGGCTATGTTTCTGCCCCGCGATTTTTAATCCGAATATTGCGTATTTGCAATGACGCTGGTTTGTTTTGATGTGTGCTGGTCGCAATTTTGGTATGTACACTAGAAATTTGATGTTACTGATACAAGCAGTGTCACGCTTACTTGACCCCTTCCCAGCCCCATGAAACTCTGTGTTGCTAGCCCACGCATGCCATTTTGCTGTGTATGTTTTCGCAGATGGCCCCAAAGCGCCATCGTAATTTATACCTGCTGCTCTTTTTGGCTGATTGTTTTGTTTTTAATAGTGCAAAGCTGCTTGCCCGTATCATGCCCCTGCGGACTGCTGCATCGTACAGTGCAGCTCAGTTGTGCCTTTGTGCATTTTTTGTTTCAATTTTTGGTACTGGGACAGTTCCATGCCTGCCAAGTGCATGCTTTGACCTAGTGCCGGGTCTCTGTATGGTAGATACTCAGCAGCGGCAGACTAGATGCCACTAGATAGGTGTACGTTTTACTGTAAGCCTTGATGATCAAGTATGGCTTTGAGATTTACTTACTTCTCTCTAACTCACATGACCTATCTCTGCACAATAGTTTTGCCCTTGAATTACTGACTGATATTCCAAGTTCTATTACCATCTTACAAAGCCTTATTTACTTCTCCCTGTGACTGGAGCACGAAACTTTTTTTCTCTGATATTAAATCCATCTTGGCTTGTTTTCTTCTTTATTAGAATGGATACCCAGCTTTCTTGTGTGTGTATGTGTGCGTCCTAGTCCGATGTGCTTCGTGTGGTGGAGACAAGGTGTGTCCATTCACATGGTTGCGCCAGTGGACTAGGCTGTAATCCACTGGCGCTAGTCTTGATCTGTTTCATTCAGATATGCCCAAGTAAAATAACAAAATACAAAGATCTTGTCCGCCATCCTTGCTAGATATACTGTAAACTGCCTAATATTCGTGATGGATTAATGTTCGCTATTTTCGCGAGAAGAGCGTAACGCAAATATCGGGCGGTTCACAGTAGAGGTTATGCGAGGACATCATCAGCGACTTTGCCAAATCATCTTAACACATTCTATTGAGATGCTTTGGCAAAGTCGCGGCACAGCAGTAGCGACACGCGCGGTGCATAGCTTGTTATGTGTACTTAGCCTGCCATTTGAAACATCTGCTGACTGACGCTGTATACGACAATACTGCATTCCAACACACTGTCTGCTAGTGTCTGCACTGGTACTAAGCCGTACTGGGATGGCATAATGCAACCCAGAGTCAGACCCAACACAGACCTCATGCTTTGAGTTTGGATTCTACTGGTCTTCTAATTGCAATCATGAAGCCTTCAATGGGAAAAACAAATACAACTCATGCACATAGAAACTGCACAGATCAAAACTATCAGAGCAGACAAAAAAAACAGCAAACATAGACAGCATACCAAAACAAACAAAACAATCACAAAGATGTTAGTGATTCGATCTAGGCCAGTATGGAATGAGCAAGGGTACGTGTCACAGCATCGTTGACAACCCACCAAACGCGAGGCTTTACGGAGGTCAAGTCATAAAGACAGAGTTCCTGCTGTTCCAGTGGCATAGCTTATCAGCCTATGAGGTTGTTTAGGCTTGAAGATGGGCGGACAGGTATTCCTTGATACTGTCAGTGTTCCAAGAGTCGATGGCCAAACTGTCTTTGACCTCTCCCCCCGCATCCTGCATGTGAAGTACTGGGTTAGCACCACGCTTGTTCCTAACTTCCAAGTTAGCAAACTCGTGACGCATATCTCCCTTCACAAACGCCTGGATCTGCGGGAAGCGACCCAATTTTCAGTTGCACACTTCCAGCACAGCCTTCGCAAACTTTGCAGACTCGGTGCCAGATTCTTTCTCCTCTTGGCAGCATCGCCGGCAGTCGTCTTCCAGAAACTTCATGGACAGTGATGACAACTCATCACAAGAACTGCACAGCAAGTTGGATGAAAATCCTAAATCTCGGCAGGAGCCATCCTGACCTATAGCCGGGCAGAACAGGACTGCCAAACAGGATAGGAACAAGTAACCTCCTGAAGAGGCGGCAGCCATTGTCGCCGCCTGCAACCGAGGACGCACCAGTCCAAATCGGCAAGCAGGGGAGGCGAGAGACAACCACAGGTGAAGCTCTCTCTTCAAAGAAACGACAAAATTTGTTTTCTTGCTTTCTTCTTCTCTAGCTCTCTCGATTTCACCTCCTCATGCCCACTCGTACTAAGCTGACGTCATTTTAGCGGTTGCTATGGCTCGCATCACGTGACCTACTCAGCAATCAGTCAGCATGTTGTGTGTGTGTGACTGTGTGCAGTGCGCTAGTGCTCACTGCACTCTCGGCTGTGCGACTGTGCAAGTGTGCATGCGGCAAGCAGCGTGGTTCATGGTGCCGGGATTCATGCCATCATGGCCGAAACCAGGGAGTACTCCCTGGCCGAAACTACCTCGGCGAAAGGCGAAAGCGCAACTCACAGTGAACTTGAAGCCTGAAGCTGAAGTCGTCAAGATCGTTTTGCGTGAGCTAATTTCATGTCGCGCGCGTTGTGTTGTGAGACACAGACGCGCGGACAGAATGCTTCGACTTTCATGGCTTTCAGCTTCTATTTTTTGAAAAGTAGCGCGCTCAGATGAGACCACACATGCACAGGCTCGTTTCCTCTTCCATTTTTTCAGGCAATTGTTGGATTATGTAGTAGACGACGAGACTGCCTTCACTGCAGGGGTCCTTACCTTGAGTTTGGTACCCTCCTGGAAAGAAATCATGGTTGCTAGACTACGACAGTTCAGAGCAGAGCCGCGCTAATGAACGAGGCGAATAGCTAACCGCTGCCGTCCGAATCTCGTACACACTAGAGTATTTGTGCCGGGCTAATGGACGAGAATTCTGGGGGGAAAGTTGCAGAGAAGGAGAAACAGTGAAACGCGCGGATTGAAAAGCCCTGAGAAGTGGTAAGCTCTAGGACAATTCCTCGATAGAAATAATGAGCTGGTTGGTTACTCGCCACACGTTATCTTTTTTTCGTGTCTTGCTACACGTTGTGGTGGGTTTCTTTGGTATTAGTATTCCTAGATCCTCCTGCCAGACAATAGCCTAATACTAATAGGCCACATATGCTAGTCTATTACCAAGAGTACATAAGCCAGAGTGTGCAGCTCTGCATATATGCTGCGTACAGGAATTAATTGCATGCAAAATTAAAACTTCAACATAGCAACTTGAAAATGGTTTCAAAATTGCGAACAAAAGGGAGATGTTCACTGGTTTGCGGGAAAGAAGCACTGTTGAACGGGAAAAGTCTGAAGAAAAATTGACTGTCACCACCAGGACTCGAAACAGCCTTCGCTCGAGGCCAGCGATGCTCTAACCACTGAGCTATGGTGAAGCTGTTATCCCAGCAGAGACCGTTCAACCTTTTCTTCAGACTTCGTAACACACACTTCCTGTGAATCCACACAGGCGGGTGGGACGCAGCCCTGAGTCACTGTAACCCACACACCGCTTCACGTACAAACTAGCACGCGAGTGTGTAGCAATTTTCTTTAATACTTGACAACATTGGCCTTCTGGAGGGCGCCGTTTGCATCTCCATCGACGAATGCAGGCCGGATAAAGTTGTGTATCCCTTCAAGCGTTTTGTGTTTTTCCAAAAAAAGGAGCTCAAAGACGTGCATAACTTTCCCTCCAGTATTAAGGTCCCATCAAAGCCACTCGCTTAGACTATCTACCAGTAAAATGGGTTACACGCCGGGAGTCACCGGCGGTGGGCCTCAGCTTGTTGTGGCCTGATCAGACTCTGAACTGATTTATTGTTTCAATGCTTGACCTTATATTATATTGATGATAGGGGTGAAACGAAGGTGTCGAAGGTTCGAAGAACCTTCGTTTTCATTTGAAACAAACCTTCGTTTTCACTTCAAAAGAAGGTCAACACACGATTTCTGTACACACATGCACTGATCGTCCTTGTATACAGGAGGTACTGTACTGTAGTTTGTACAGTCGACTAGTTTTGTGTCCACTTGGCTCCCGGTAGGTGCCACTGCAAGTCCATAGTAGGCCACGGACTGGGCTTGAGCGTGGCCATTCACGGCCAAGGTGTGCAGAAGTAGTCTTGGGCAGTTTAGGGTGCAAACTGCGCAGTGCAAAAGCTATGGGCGTGCCAATTGTGGTGACTGCACAGCAAACACGTGCACAGTCATGTACTTTGTAGGGCACATGCACAGAGTGTGCTTCAAGAGGAACTGTGAACTGGTAAAAGAATCCTTCGACACCTTCGTTCGTTTTCATGAAGAAGGTTTGTTTGGCAAATTGAGGCCTTCGTTTCACCCCTAATTGATGAAACTGAACACAATGCAAGATGACTTCTAACTCAACACATAAGTGATAATATCAATGTTATCTAATCTCGCACTCAATGTGTGACGCTGTATGTGTTATGATGTAATATCACGCGATATCACATCGCCTCCCTTTCAAGCTTGTTGCATAATTCCAAATCTGCAATCAAGGTACATCTAGAAGTTCTAATCATAAGATTGTCCTCTAAAACTGGCGATGCCAAAGCGTGCCACTGGCTTTCGTGTGCGATCGGATCTTCGCAAACTCGGATTGACTTGTGCCGTACTTGGCCGGTTCTGCTTCTCATGACCTTCGTCTCGCGGACGCTTCTGGTGAGCGTCTTCCCTCTGATGTGGCATCAGGCTCACTGCAACCGGGGTTGCGGGGTAGTGAATATGCAAGAACCGTCTGTTCCTCCAGTAAACACGGCCACTGGGCAACTTCACAAAATAGTCTCGATTTTGACCAATGGCCACAACTGTACCTGTTGTTGCCCATCTCCCAGATCGGGGGCTGTCCTGCACGTCTACCATAGGTCCTATCTTCAGTGCTGCAAGCTCATGTGCTGATCTGTTGTAGGCTTGATTGTGTGCTCGTGCGGTGGTAGCTGCATGATCGGCCTCATCCGCCTTTCGCTGGTATTCAATCGAGAATGTTCTGTGGTTTGCAAACGCGAATGATGCCATCGGCCGCCCATATACCACTTGCGATGGGCTACGACCGTCCGCACGAGGCGCGTTCCTCCACTCTAGTACAGCACGCTGAAATTCATCGGTGTCCAGCTTGCCATCTACAGAAGTTTTTAGAATCAACCGTTTGACCGCCTTGACTGCTGCCTCCGCATGATCGTTTGCCTATGGATAATGCGGTGTTGATCTTTTGTGAGTTACTTGCCATTTCTTGCAGAAATCCTCGAACCTCTTCGAGGTAAATTGTGGACCACCGTCTGTTTTAATCTTCTTTGGTACTCCTACTTCCGCAAACCACCGACGTATCGGCTTGATCACGTCGATGGTTGTTGTTGCCTGACCAAGCCGTTCCACGCATGGCCAACCTGACTTAACATCCACATACACCGAATATTGCTGTCCTTGGCATGAGCACAAGTCGGCACTGACCGTTTGGAACGGGAACTCGGGAGTTGGTTCGAATGCCATCGGCTCCTCCGTGACGCTATCTTGATGCTCGCTGCATACTTTGCAACCTCTGACGAGGGACTCAATGTCGTGCGTAATGTTCGGCCAATATATCGTCTGTCGGGCCCGTCGCTTGGTACGCTCGATACCTTGGTGCGCTGCGTGAATGCTGTCTAGCGCTTGTCGTCGTAGCCGTTTCAGCACCACTATGCATTGGCCCTTCAAAGCTATACCATCTTCTACTGTTAAATGTTCCCGGACATTCCAGTATGGCCTGGAGGCTGCTGCGACTGCGCTCGACTCCTGGGGAAACCCTTCGCAAATTGTCCGTAGCAATACCTGGTACTCTGGATCCTCCTCAGCCGCCTTCTTCAGGGCTTCTTTCTGGATATCGGGGCCTTCCTGCTGAGGGGTTTCGACTGCGCATATGTGTGTGATTGTCGGGGTTGCAATGTCTTCGTCATCGTCATCATCGTTGACGCCGTCTTGATACATCTCACCCAGCTAGTCTCTCCCTCCTGGCCGATCCACCGGCGCCTCGGACAATGCATCGGCCAGGAAATACTCCTTCCCTTTCCTCCATTCTGCCGTGAATTGAAATGCCTGCAACCAGTGTATACTGATTCAGCATCGCTATCAGTGGCTTGTGATCTGTGATAATTGTGAATTCTGTGGCAGCCAGAAATACATGGCATTGGTGTGCTGCCCAGACTATTGCCAAACATTCCAGTTCTATCATAGCATATCGCGATTCGGTTTCTGAAATGAATCTACTGCCGCATTGAATTAATCGCCAAGCGCCCTCTTGAAATTGTAACAATGCAAATCCGAGGCCATTCTTTCTGGATGCATCTGTTTCTAAGTGCAATGGACTACCAAACCGACATATGCCAACGTCGGTGTGTCGAAACGTGTATTTTTCATTTCAGACATAGCTTGACTGTTCTGGAAGCCATAGAAAGTCTGTTGATCTCTTCAATAAATCTCTTAGAGGCTGTGCGTGAGTGGCCAAACACGGTGTGAATTGAGTCGCAAGCCCTAAAAACGATCTGAGGTCCGTTCGATTCTTAGGCGTGCGAAACTCTTGAATTGCTTTCAACTTCTCATCATCCATACGCCATCCTGTCTGTCCTATCATGTAGCCGCAAAAGTGCACTTCCTTCTCTGCAAACCTGAATTTCTTCTCGGAAAATGTAATGCCGTGTTCTCGCGCCTGGCACAAGATTTTGAAAAAGAAGGAGAAATATTGTGGAAATCAGGAGGACAAACTGTGCGATAGCCCGATTCTTTTTGGTACATAGGTGCATAACAAGGGTGTAGTAACGGGCATTGGAGAGAGAAAAAAACCCCGTGAAGTAGACATAGTGTAAATGGGAAGAACATATTTGTTTGAAACTCGGATGTTGAGCCAATAATAAAATGTAGAAAGGAAAAGTACATATGGATACGAGTACTAAAAGAGTAACTCTCGATCACTGTGACTAGATTCTATAATACAGTCAGAAAGTCGACATTCTTTGTTCCGTTGGGACTGTAGCTTGTGCTCGTTTTCGTTGCGCTTACCTTCCGCTCTTTGGTCTTTCCATAACCTTGAACCTTCCGAGTTGGAAGGCTGTCGGTTAGCGCTACGGAGATGTGTGGAAGCTAGGTGTCAGGACGTCGAATGTCTCAGTACTCTGTCAGTTGTGTGCCTAGTTGTTGCACTTTCTGACTGTATATAGTATCTGGTTACAGTGATGGAGAGTTACTCTTAAGTTAACTTGTATCCATATGTCCCTTTCCTTTCAACATATTTGTTCAGAACAGTTTTCTTGTTACGATCATCAGTGAATGTACGTAACGAAGGGTGGAATACTAAGTGCACAATCTTATAATAATAAAAAAATTATGGAACAGAAAGCGGCGCGAATAGAAAAGAAAAATAGCACTTTTAATTGAGCATTCACTGGTTCGAGGGAAAGACACAAATGGGAAAAGTCTGTGAATCCACACAGGCGGGTGGGACACAGTAAAGCGATAAGCATGACAGTGGCATGCACACAACACACAAGGGGACAACAAAATAGAGAAATCTGAAGGACAAATATAATGTGAAACTATCATGGGAACAGGGAGCAGGGGGACAACAATAACAACATCAAGTCCACAAGGTGCTAGGTGAACAGTTTCAGGGTTATGACACTTTCTTGTCGGACACACAAATCAGGTTTGTACAAGTAAAAAAAATTAATGCATACTTGTATGATATAGACTCTGACACTTTCAGCTGCATCACATGGGCATGACATCACATGGGCATGACATCACATGGGCATGACATCACATGGGCATGACTAGCACAGGACAGTGAAGCAATAATCCGAATAAGACTGACAACAATCAGGATGACGAAAGATGTTGCGACATCGGCGGTTAGTAATAAAGAAAGTGTCTGACGTTCGGAGCCGCAACACTTTCTTCATTAGCAATCAGGATGGGTTAACAAATTGCATATACTTCGAAGTAGGCAGAAGACTTCTTCTGATCAAAGTCCAGCTCACAGTCACACTCACCACCATCGGTGTCAATATCCGCGTCTTCCTCGGTCTCACCTTCATGAACTCCACCTGCTTCCAACTCCTACTCCTCCTCTTCACCATCATCTAACGCCTGTTGTGTCCTCGTTGTTCTCCGTCCATCATGAGCCAGACCACCTAGCACCCTGGAACCACAGAAATACTGCACTGTCGACTTCCGTGGTCGAAGGTTCATGCCGTGAAGAGACGTCGACACAGTTTCTACCTCTGAAGTAGTAGGTGCCATGGTTTCCGCTGTGTCCGTCAATGCTGGTTTCGGACCAGCAGCACCGTTGTCCATGCTCGCTGCGTCTGTCCCATGCTGGCTGCACGTTCCCCGATTACACTCAGGCTAGTTCCGTACCCAGTTCAGTGATTCCTTCATGTGTTGTTATCGACGGCAACACTGCGGCCAATCTGGAACCAGGTGGGTCAACCGACGACGCATTCACAGGAGAAACAGAGGGCGGCATTAGAGAAGCCGCTGCCAATATCGCCTCTGAAAGCTCGCTCCTCGCCCTGTTATTCAGAGATGCAGATTGTGGTGCCGAAGAAGGGAACAAAGCAGGCAACACCATTGGCAAAGAAACTTTCCTTGGCCTACCACATCCCCTGCGTTGTGTAGTTGATGCCCGCGGCATCGAACGATAATGGCATATGGGGCGGATCCATTGGCGGACACGGTTGCTAAATCTGCTTCGTAGGTGGCTCAGATGGATTGTTGTCGGGTTCGGAGGATGTGCTCGCAGCAACAGCAGTGAGTATGACGACCATCACCAAGAGGCGACGTGGACATCCACGCATATGCTGAGGTGGAACAGTGTTGGCAGTGTCGACGGCAGTATCTGCCAGGTCTGTAACAGCAGGGTCAATGGCAGTGCCAACAGCAGTCAACGGAAATGTCAGTCGACAGCGACTGATGTGGCGTCAGCTTCTGCGCCCTCAAGAACAGGGGCAGTGTTATCGCCGGAAAAGTCCAATTGTGTACCTACCTCACGTGTCAATGTTTGTTCTGTTGATTGTGAACTTGTGACATATGATTCTCCTGTTGTCCACCACCTCATCGCTAATGCTGAATTTGCTGGTGCATATTCTGATAGCCACTTCTCTGTTTTGTCACGTACTTGTGTTCGTGGTCTCACCCATCTGAATATGTCAGAAGCTAATAATTATTATACTGCACAGTGTGCGGTGTGTTTTAGTCCCTCTTGTCTCACTTCTCACTTCTCACCTCTTTCTCTCTTTCCCTTTGTTTCTCTCCCCTTGTGCATAATTCTTCGCAAAATTTATCACTTTAGCTGTAACCTTTGTTACGCTACTTATCCTTAGGTTTCGTTGCCATGTTTCTTGTATTTCATTTGAAGACAATCTCAAACTGGTTAGTAAATTTCTGAGTCCTCATTGATGATGATGGCGGTGAAGAGCTTGACATTTGTAGGTTTTCAGCTTTCCTTGATTGAGAGTTGTACTGTGTGTTGTTTCTTTGCTTGTTGACAGTGGTTGCTCGTATTACCGGAAGGTCATCTAGTGCAGCACCTTCCATTAGGTTGGCAGTGGTTCTACCTTCACTTATCCCTGCAGCTCCAGCCATGGACATCTTTTTGGTAAGTAGCTGACAGCATACTGAAATTTATATTCACAAGTTGTGCTGCCCTCCCAATGTATCAATTGCATATATGTGTGTGTGTGTGTGCGTGTGTGACAGGCGCGTGCGCCGGTGCCCTTCAAGGGGGGGGGTTCCGGGGGCCTCCCCGGGAAAATTTTCAAAAAATGAAGCAAAATTCTGCATTTTGAGCGAAAAAGGGGGGTTCCGGGCACCCAGGAACCCATACGGCGCACGCGCCTGTGTGTGTGTGTGTGTGTGTGTGTCCAACCTGTCGGAAGGCTACCTTCTTGCCAAAGCATTTGGAAGTTGGACTAGTTTCGGCTCCACAATCCAGTGTGTCGTTACTATAATAGCTTTCATGGCAGAGGTTGTTGGTATGTCTGTTGGCTCTGGGTTCCTAGTACTCAGTAGCCGAGGCTGGGTGGTAAAGTACCTCCAATTTCACTTCAAGGTACCAGTGCATCTAGTGTCTGCTTCTATCAAAGCAGCGTGCTGTCTATACTGGTTACCCCAGCAAGTATAGGGTGTGCATAGGTAACTGTCTTGGCCGTTTTATGCCGATGTACTCCGTGTGGTGTAGACCAGGTGTGCATTGGTGGTCGATTCACATGGCTTCGCCAGATGTGTGGAGTAGACAGTTATCTGGCGCAAGTCTTGATCTGTCTCATTCAGATCTTGTTCGCTATTGTTGCTATAAGAGAAAATCTGTGGGTGCACATCCAGTGCATTTGCAGATTTGCGTGCTTCTCTTGCGACGGGCGTATACATGGTACATGGTACATGGTGTATGACGGTATGCTTATGTGTATGCCCGTGCAAGTGCAGATTGTGTAGACGTGCACGGACATGCAGGCAGACACACGTGCCTGTAAGTACACGGGAACTTGGGCTAACTCTTTAGTAATCAATGGTGCTATTGAAGCTTCCATCAGATCCAGTCTGATTTAACAATCCGCACCAGTATCAAGTACAGTCAGACCTCGCTTATCCGACCCGGTCTAGATCTTTTATCCGGATCCCTTGCCATCCGGAAGAAAATCACGGGCAACCAATTTGCAGCATATGTGACACATACAACCTTACAGGACCTCGCGCATACCAGTGCATGGTTTGTCATCAAACCAGTTCAAACATTTTTGAAAAGCTCTGTCATATCCGGTTTCCATGTAGCATGCAGAAACCAGAATCAGGAAGCTGTAAACTCTGTACACTCATACCTCGGTTATCCGGACGCGGAAGTTACTTCGGTGTGCCGGGTACCGTTTGGGTGCATTTTAGTGGAAATATTACTACTCTTTTGTCACTTTTGTGGAAATAGGGGCACCACCCTGATGACCTTTGCCCATCAACATGACTGTATGTGATTTGGAGCTACAGACACTTAACAGTTTAAAATGTTCAAAGGGCAATGCCCGGATAAACGAGGTACGAGTGTAAGAACCAAGGAGTGTATGACTTCCGGACCTGCTTGCTTAAAGCACTCTGTTACATTTTTCTCGCTTATTAAAGGGGCACTCCGGGAATTTTTTCGGTGGTGTGTTCTCTTCATGGGGGCCTTATATGGCCCCCAAGGAATGGGGAATCGCGAAAACTAGACCCAAAAAGTCGATATATGAAGCCAGGGAGGGCCAAGTTTGTCTCCTCTTTTGATGGTTTTGATGACGTCACGTGTGCTTAGTATTCAAATTCTCTGCATTTGAAGATCTTAGTTTGAATTTTCTGGTGATGAAGAACGATGTTTGGTCGACATTCCCAAGCTTCACAACTGTAGTGCGGACATACTCTAAGGAACCTGAAGGACCCCCTGAGCCTGGTAGAAGTGCAGCCTGATGAGGGCCAGGAGATTGGAGCGGACGACTTCACTGGTTCGAGTACGAGGATCCTGAAATTCTCTATACGCCGTGAGGCATATGGTCAGAACAGTTTTGTTTAGACAAGCTGACGCGAAGCCGGGGTGTGTGTAACGCATGTCAAAGGGCTGTCAATGCTAACAGCTGCAGCGCTCTCTCGACAGCGAAGGTAATCGACTGCCCTCTGCATCACCCCACATTTCTGGCAGGAACACCAATCGTTATTTCCTTGTTGACCAGTGAAGTCGTCCGCTCCAATTTCCTGGCCCTCATCAGGCTGCGCTTCTACCAGGGGCACCTCAGGAGGTCCTTGAGGTTCCTTAGAGTATGGTCGCAGTTGTGAAGCTTGGGAATGTTGACCAAACATCGTTCTTCATCACCAGAAAATTCAAACAACTAAGATCTTCAAATGCAGAGAATTTGAATACTAATCACATGTGACGTCATCAAAACCATCAAAAGAGGAGACAAACTGGGCCCTCTCTGGCTTCATATATCGACTTTTTGGGTCTAGTTTTCACGATTCCCCATTCCTTGGGGGCCATATAAGGCCCCCATGAAGAGAAAGCACCACCGAAAAAATTCCCGGAGTGCCCCTTTAAAGGGGAAGTTAAGGCTAAAATCAAAATTTCACCAGTTGTAGTCTTCGGGGTGCTGAGTCGAATGGTCTTGGTCCGAGAAAGCTGAGACGCTCCCTTCCTACTTGAATCCCAATCGAACTCGCGCACTTCCACCGAAACTGGGTGACTGCGCCCTACTAGATGGGGATTTGTATGCAAAATGTCACTAAAAGCGCCATTTCGTTCTTATAATAGCACGGATGACCGCGATTGGCCCATATGTTGTAGTCTTTTGGACGCTGAGTCGACTGGTTTTGGTCCGAAAAGGCTGCGATGCAGCGTTCCTCCTTTATTCCCAATCGAACATGGTTGAATAAGCGGTCACGTGTTCCTGGGTACTCAAATCACCTGGTCACCGCGCCAGCAAGCGATAACTTCCACACCAAGGTTCAACTCGAGTTCAACTCGAGTGACAAAAGTGCGCCCAAAAAAGGTCAAACAGGCTGTAAGTTGTACCCTGCAGGCGCTAGGCTAGGCACGGTGACCAGGTGACTGGTGTATGCAGGAGCACGTGACCGCTTGTTCAACCATGTTCGATTGGGAATAAAGGAGGAACGCTGCATCGCAGCATTCTCGGACCAAAACCAGTCGACTCAGCGTCCAAAAGACTACAACATATGGGCCAATCGCGGTCATCCGTGACTTTATAAGAACGAAATGACGCTTTTAGTGACAGTTTGCATACAAATCCCCATCTAGTAGGGCGCAGTCACCCAGTTTTGGTGGAAGTGCGCGAGTTCGATTGGGAATAAATGAGGAACGGAGCGTCTCAGCTTCCTCGGACCAAGACCATTCGACTCAGCACCCCAACAAAGACTACAACTGGTGAAATTTTGATTTTAGGTTCAACTTCTTCCCCTTTAGTTTTACAGAATGTGCGCACTAACTGGACTGCATGTGACCATTATACATGTACTCACGATATCAAACCTTTTGATAGACCACATGCATCCATGGAGGGTGGTGGCATTCCTAAGGATGTGGAAACTCGGCCTTCAGCCGAGTCTCACGCGAACCGTGAACATTTCCCTCCCCCGGTGATAGTATCCTGTTAATCGAGCAGTCTGACTGTATTACATAGCCAGCAATCGCATGTCATCTCGTACATTCAAAATCAACATAATTTTGCGAATCGACCTTTTTTTCAGGATCACTTTTCAACGAGGACGAAGCAAAGTCGGCCGAACGAAGCCTAGAGGAAGAAAATCACCCTCTCCACTTCACCATCACGATACTGACATAGATACGAGATGAAACAACAAAAAAATTCACAAGAAAACTGTACGACTTTGGTCTGACTTTGGTCGGAGAATTTCTATCACGATCAAAAATGTACGAGGAGCACTCAAAAATCAGCCACAGACGTACCTTTATCGCTCTCTACTCCTTTTTCAAGGCACAAAAGTCGACTCTCCACTTTCAAACCAGGAACCAGACATACCAGTGGTCCTTTTCAGCTGCTCCACGAGCGCAGGAAATGTTCACCAAGGGGCGCAGAGCAGCATCCATTCCAGAAAAATAGCTAAAATACGAGCGAGACTGCATGCCTGAGTACATGAGTACATGTATGAGTACATGCAGAAAATAGTCAATTTCAGCGTTTCTGCTCCAAACAGCAACTTTCTTCGACTAGAAACAAAGATTACACCAAAGGATCAAACAACAACCATTTTCTGCAGTTTTTTTGCAGATGGCTTCCTTGTGCTTGGCCCAGCACGCCAAAAATCACACCTCGGAGGAGTACAAAAATTACAACTCTCAGATGTCCTTGATTGCTGGCCATGCTCTGCCCGGGACAGGGGTAGGTGCCAGGACGAATGATACCTTGATACCTTCCATATATTTAATACCAAGTTGATACCCTCAATGTATTTTCTGCAACTTGTCCTTGCCCACTTACTGCTGTGTGGTGAAGAAGGAGAAAGAAGGAGAACTCTTGTTGTTATGCAGAAACAACAAGAGTTCTCCTTCTTTCTCCTTCATGCAGAAACAACAAGAGTTCTCCTTCTTTCTCCTTCTTCATGCAGAAACAACAAGAGTTCTTCTCCTTCTTTCTCCTTCTTCATGCAGAAAAAACAAGATTGAGTTCTCCTTCTTTCTCCCTCTTCATGCAGAAACAACAAGGAAGGAGAAAAAAGCCGGAAAATCTATTTTCTGCAACTTGTCCTCGCCCACTTACTGCTGTGTGGTGAAGGCGGAGAAAGAAGGAGAACTCTTGTTGTTATGCAGAAACAACAAGAATTCTCCTTCTTTCTCTGCCTTCATCTTCTCCTTCTTCATGCAGAAACAACAATACTGAGTTCTCCTTCTTTCTCCTTCTTCATGCAGAAACAAGGAAGGAGAAAAAAGCCGGAAAAGCCATCCCAAACCCCGACCACCATCCCCTCCTGGAATGATTACTTTTATAGCCTACCCTGGCTCTGAACTTCACACCTGAGATGATTGGTCAACCGGCCTTAGCCAATCAGAGTTCTTCTTGGCTTGTGCAGAAATGCAGAAACAACAGTCACGGGTGTTGTTTCTGCATGAGGAAGGAGAACTCTTGTTGTTTCTGCATGAAGGAGAAAGAAGCCAGAAATTCTCTTTGTTGTTTCTGCATGAAGAAGGAGAACTTTTGTTGTTTCTACATGAAGGAGAAAGAAAGAAGCCTTTAAATGAGGTTGTATTGTTCATGTCCACCCGTAGGTTAGATAGGTTGAGATTTGAGGGTTGTCGGGCGTTGTTTCTGCATGAAGGAGAAAGAAGCCAGAAATTCTCTTTGTTGTTTCTGCATGAAGAAGGAGAACTTTTGTTGTTTCTACATGAAGAAGGAGAAAGAAAGAAGCCTTTAAATGAGGTTGTATTGTTCATGTCCACCCGTAGGTTAGATAGGTTGAGATTTGAGGGTTGTCGGGCATTGGGAGGATCAGTAATCCATTGAATCATCTTTGCGAGACTTCTTCCATGGGACCAGTTTGGGAGCAATTGTTTATTCTTAGCTTGCTGATGGCTGCAAAATTCAGGCCATCCCAAACCCCGA